GAGGTTTCTTGAGCTCTTCGGATAGGGCAGCGATGCCGAGTTTGGATTTGACTTAGACTTATCCGTCTGGATTATGCTGTTCTGCAGGGAGAGCGTCGTGCTATAGTGATTTATTCTAGCTCATCGTTGAACCTTCTGCTTCAATCTTTTGCATCGCATAAGTGGTACGCAACCTTTGCATTTGAATGGTATTTTAATGAGTATCCAATTAGTTTTTGTCAAAATATCGCGATATTATTGATAATATCGGTAATATCGCGATATTTCTCGATATTTCTTATAATATCGCGATATTAGTCCAAAAATTCCTGAAAATTTGGAAAAGTCTCAATTTTGAGCATAGAGGGGTTCGAACCCCTCTCACTTAACTCCTTAACGCCTTAACCACTATACCACTTATGTTGTTGTGATAATATGCTACAATATTTATATATATGGTTTTGTTTTGAATTCTTTTTACAAGAAACAAATTTGCACATATTCCAAATTTTTTGTGGTATTATATTTTAAATTGTGTCAATTAATTACTTAGTCAATGACATGTGGTTTTTAATTTTTCTATTTTTTATTTGGTCACTTACATGGTAGGGCTGGAAAAAATTCCGGAAAATTCCAAACCAAACCGAAAAAGTCCCAAATCCAAACCAAAACCATCCTGAAGTTCGGGAATCCCATCCCGAAAAATACCGAAATTTTCGATATGGGATTGGTTTCCAAATCCCATTTGTTTGGTAATCCCGAAAAATACCGAAGTATTTTCCTATTGACTTTTGGGTTTTGGTTCTTGAAAACCATTGCCATGGTTGCTAACTACTCTTCAAAATACACTCACTCTACACATAGAGATGATGAAGATAGTGAAAATTTTGAACCTCATAGGAACTCTATGTGGTACTAAGTCACTCATGTATCTTACCATGCAATGTATAAAGTGTAAAATATTGTACTAATTCTTTATATATAAATAATTATGGTGTGTTTAGACTTCTTTCATTAATTTCTACATATTTTCTACACTCACAATGTTTGTCAGCTCGCTATATAATCAACTTGATAATGTTAAATCCATCATGCAATGCATTTCCTTCCAATTTTTTGTGATAAACTAATAGATAATTGACTAAATAAACATCCTGCAAAGTTTCAATAAAAATTTCCAAGTTTTTCTTACAATTTCCGTGGTTTCCATGTAATTTTTATCGATATCGATATTATCCCGATATTTCCATCGATATTTCCGTGTTTTCGGACTACCGATATTTCCGATATTACCGATATTTTCTTCCTTGCTTCTCAGCGACTCATCCATGCTTGGGAGCTTCAGTGTAAAAAGCCAATATCGTATCAACTGTTCTGAAGTATTTGCTGAAAGGATTCGTGACCTTGACAACAGTTGAGGATGAGTACTCGAGAGTAATGCTAGGTGAGCAACCAGGCAAAGGTTCCGGGCAATCAGTTCCGAATCAGAAGTTTGATTTCATGTTCCAACTGATTGTTTTCTTTCTCCTTGTCTTGTAGGTAAGAGCAAGGGCAAAGGAAAAGACAGGGAAAAAGTATGATATGAGATACTCTTAATTTTAACCCTGATGATATGAGATACTCTTGCTCTGGTGTGGCTTGTTTGCAAAGGTATTATCGGGGGAAAGGAAGCTGAGTATTTCGAAAGGCTTCGTTGAGAATGCCCTATCAGATATGAGGAATGGTTGAGCATTTTTGCAGGTCTGCATATCCGTGGAGGGTGAAAGTAGACATATATAGGAGTTTCCCTAACAACAAGTAGTAATTCTATTCTTTTACCTTTCTTGGTTATAGCAATGTAGTGGGAGCTGCAAGTCTCATGTGTTTTAACTTTGTCAGAGCACTTTGAAAAAAATGGTCTATGGTATTTGGAAAGCTGATGTTGCGTGTGAAGATTGCAGACAAATTTTATCCAAGGAAATCTGGCTCTCGAAGTTCGGAGAGCGGTGCCTCTTTGGTTTTCGAACAAGCAATCCTGTTGGGGATCTGGCTCTCGAGATTCGGAGAGCGTTGCCTCTTCGATTTTTGAACAAGCAATCTTATTGAGGATCTGGCTCTCGAGATTTAGAGAGCGGTGCTTCTTCGATTTTTGAGAAAGCGATCCTAGTAGGAGTCAGGCTCTCGAGATTCGGATAGCGGTGCCTCTTCGATTTTTGAGAAAGCGATCCTGGTAGGAGTCTAGCTCTCGAGATTTGGATAATGGTGCCTCTTCGATTTTTGAGAAAGTAATCATGGTGGGAGTCTAGCTCTCGAGATCCGGATAGCGATGCCTATTCGATTTTTGAGAAAGCAATCCTGGTGGGAATCTGGCTCTCGAGATTTGGATATCGGTGCCTATTCGATTTTTGAGAAAGCAATCCTGGTGGGAGTCTAGCTTTCGAGATTCGGGGAGCGGTGCCTCTTTGATTTTTTGAGAAAGTAATCATGTTGGGAGTGTTTTCTCGATGTGAGTAAAGGTTGGGCATTTTTGCCAGTCTGCCTTGCTACAGAGCATGGAGGTTGACACACATAAGGACTTTCCAGTTATTAAGCAGTGGTGCTGTTCCTTTATCCTTGTGGGTGATGGTAGGGTAGCTGGACCTTTAAAATTTATGTGTTTAAACTTTGTCAGAGATCTTTGGCAAAGTTATCTGTGGTACCCAATGACCTTCAAAATTTATGTGTCTAAACTTCTCCTGAGCAACCTTTGTGAATGCTTACTCTTGTTCGTTTATTTTGACTCATGTATATGTACATATTTGTAACTTATCGGAGATATTAATAAATAAGCTTTGCTTCATTTCAACGTATTGTTAAATACACCAAAGCCTTCTTTACTAAGTTCTTTGAATTTTTTTTTTTGTTGAAGCTTGTATGTTGAAACTTTGTGAGTGAAGCATGTAGGTTGAGGTAGTGCTCCATTAATTTCCCGAGTGAGGAAAACTTCTCGGTTGGAGACTTGAAAGATCCAAGTCATTGAATAGTCGTGAACCTTCCAAGTACCGAGGTGTAGTAGCATATGGTAGGAGTCCCCCAAGTTTCCGGTCGAGGGAGTTGAAGAAGGAGGTGTCTTGCTAGTAGCCAAGTTTCCAAAGTAACAAAACTTCACCATTTTCCTTTTTAAGTGGTAGCCCAAAACTCTTTTTTCATATATATTTGTTATGAAAGTTGTTAAACCCAAAGAAGATGAGGCGTAGGAATATTTTTTTAAATTTTCGAAATTGTTTTTTTGAATTTTCGAATTTCTGAATTTTTGAATTTCCAAAAAAAAAAATATATATTTTAAAGCTTTGTAGGTGAAATTTTGGTGTTGAAGCTTTGTAGGTGAAGTTTTGAGGTTGAAGCTTTGTTGGGTACCATGAATTGATTTTGCTTCACACTATCTTGATCAAGAGTGTGTGAAGCTTTGTAGGTGAAACTTTTGTGGGTGAAGTTTTTGTGTTGAAGCTTTTGTGGGTGAAGTTTTTGGGTTGAAGATTTGTAAGTGAAGCTTTTGTAGGTGAAGCTTTTGTGTTGAAGCTTTGTAGGTGAAGCTTTTGTGTTGAAGCTTTATAGGTGAAGTTTTGGAGTTGAAGCTTTGAAGTTGAAGCTTTTGTAGGTGAAGCTTTGGAGTTGAAGCTTTTGTATGCGAAAAGTTTTGTAGGTGAAGCTTTTGTGTTAAAGCTTTGGAGGTGAAGCTTTTGTGTTGAAAATTTGTAGGTGAAGCTTTGGAGTTGAAACTTTTGTAGGTGAAGCTTTGGAGTTGAAGCTTTGTAGGTGACACTTTGGAGTTGAAGCTTTGTAGGTGACACTTTTGTGTTGAAGCTTTGCACCCGAGTGTTTCATTGCTAGGACTGTAAGAGGATTATGACCGAGTTGCCTAAATCACCTCTTTATTGAATTCATGCCAAATGGTCTTCGTTACATAGGATGCCGAACGACTGAAGCTTAACACTTGTACAATGTGAGTTTACTTGTAATAGTACTTCAAGTGATCAGCGTTCCATGGATGGCCAATGATCTTGCCATCAGAGCTTCTAAGCTTGTCGGAGCCAGGGTGACTAATGCCAACAACTTCAAACAGTCCATCCCAGTTTGGACTAAGTGTTCATTCACTCGGGACTCTGTCGCAGAGTAATCTTTTCTTCAATACCCAGTCCCTCACTTTGAAATAACGAGGTTTGACCCTTGAGTCATAGTAGTTGGAGATGCGCTGCTTGTAGGCAATATTCCTCAAGTGAGCCTGGTTTCTGTGTTTCTTGATTATATCTAAGTTGAGGGTAAGTTGTTTGTCATTTTCGCTTTACACGTAGTTCTGGACTCGAAACGTTGCTTGCTCAATCTCAACTGGGACAACTGCCTTTGTACCAAAAGCAAGTGAGAATAGAGTTTCTCCTGTTGAAGTCCGATACGAAGTGAGGTATGACTAAAGAATTTGGGGTACAAATTCTGGCCAACAACCTTTAACCTTTTCCAAGCTGGTTTTTAAAGTGCGCTTGATTATTTTGTTGATGGCTTCAACTTGTCCATTAGACTAGGGATGAGCTGGGGAGGCGAAGCATAAGTTGATGTTGAACTTAGAGCAAAACATGTTGGAAATGTGCCCTAAAACTAGGGATGGGCAATGGTTATGCGGGCGGGTAACCGCAGTTATTTTACCCATAACCGTTTATGTTCATACCCGCATAACAGTTTACCCGTTGGGTAATTACATAAACGGTTATACCCATAACCATAACCATTTATAAACGGTTATCCATACCCATAACCGTGTACCCATTTACCCATTTAACCATAACCATAACCATTTACCCGTTTACCCATTTTTTCGCCCGTTTATCCTTTTTTTTACCCATTTACCCTTTTTTTCTCCCGTCTACATTATTTTTTAACGATAGTTAATCAAAAAATGAAAAGCACTTCCAACTGCTTTTCCAAGAAGCATTTTCAATAAAAATTTCGACTTTTGTCTTTATTTTTTGAGTTTCTGATCAATCGACTTTTGTTCTTTAATAAAAGCACTTCTATGTAATCGACTTTTGTTCTTTAATAAAAGCACTTCCCATCATAAACCCAAACCCAACTCTCTGCAAACCCCTCTCCGCAATATGCAAAAGTGCCACCCGCTTCTGCTCGCTGTTTCCTTTCAACTTCTTCTCCACCGCCTCCTTCTCCACTAGAGAAACCCTCAGCAAGCTGCTGATATCCCTATTCTCCTCTGTCAGACTCACCACGCTTTTCTCCAACTCTTTCTTCTCCTTCTTCCTCAGCTCTTTATACTCACTCACCTTCGCTTCCGCCGAAGCTGCCAACCGCGCAACCGCCGCACTCTCCTCCCAAACCCCCTCAGCTTCTTCAGCTCCATTCTCAGCCTTTTCATCGCCGACGCCGTCGATTATTCCGATTATGCCCTCCTTGGTCGATCGGAGCGAATCCAGGCACTTCAACAAAAACCCATCTATCTCTTTTCTCTCAAGCTCCAACCTTTCAATCGTCCCCCGACAAACTCGCACCTCATTTTCGATCGCCTCATTCGTCTTCAACTCCTCCTCCAATTTGGAAGAAAACCCGTCTTCCTTTTCTCTCAGAAAATCTTCGAGCTTCTGAATTTCGCCGCGAAGAGAGTCCCTCTTGCAGGAAATTTCTCCGACGACTTTAATTAGCTCGGCGTTGCGAGCCAGGGCCTTCGATAGCAGGCTCTGGTGCAACTGGCAGAGGGAGTCGAGCTCGGCGAGAAGAACATGATCGGGTTCGGAGGCTTCTGGGTTGTTCGGGGGATCTGGGTCGTTGATTTGGGGGTCGGGGAGTGTTTCTGTAGGGTTTTCCAGACGATGATCAAATGGGTAAATGGATACCCGTTATAACCATGAATATTAACCATAACTGATAGATACCCGTTATAATCGCGGATAATACCCATAACCGTCCATTTAAATTTCATGGATAAACGGTTATACCCATAACCGTTTATTTGTTTAAACGGTTACCCATAACCATCAACTTTAAATGGGCGGGTAACCGCGGTTACCCATATCCATGGGTATTTTGTCCATCCCTACCTAAAACCAATCATATGATGATACTTTACAGACATTTGACATATTAAACTAATATAGTTTAATATAAAGGGCAAAGATTATTGTTTGAAGCCGTCTAATATAAATGTTATATGCTTAAATGATAAGTCCAAGGAATATGTAATTGGGAGAATGCGATCTAAAAAAGTTAGATTCATGAGACCATTCTCTTTCATATACATATCCTAAACGTTCCTAATCATAGGATTGCCAATTGGCATTGACAGTCCTTTAAGATCAGTAAGTGCTATGTCTTCTTTTAGGGAGAGTGACTGGTCTCGAGTCATTGGTGTGACTGACACCAAGACAAGCATGTAGGTGCTCAATAGAGAATGAGTCCACTGAACACGATCAACAAGGAATTCTCATACTCATATCACATGAGAACTCATGGTTGGGATAATGCAAAGTAGTCATTTGACCGCAAAGTAGTCATTTGACCTGAGGCATCATAGTTGTCTTGTGGTTAGGTCATTGATCTTTGACTATGTCAAAGTCACTTCGTCAGAGGGTGTCCACGACATAGTTGGAGTTAAGCCACTTAGCCATGGAGGCAAATGAATGCGCAACAAGGGATCTTTAATCTTTAAACCGTTTGAAGGAGAATACTCTATGATATGATTAAAAATCTATGGCCAGAGTATGAATGAGATTTAGGAAATCATTTCAAATCACATTCAAGGTAATCATATAAGTAAGAGAATCACATTGAACAGTAGACATGAATAAACTATCAAACCAAACAATGTGGTCAAGAGTATTGTATTAGAGAAAGTCCATATTGCATTGTAATCCTAAACTGAATAGGTTTTCCACCTCTTCTAATTTGCTTGGGTAACCATGACATACTGCTAGGTGTCACTCATGGTTTGTGGAAGCCCTAAACGTGTATAATCACTAAAGGGGGAATTGAAAGTAAGTTTCAATTCACAATCGATTTGAAAGAGTTCTAATCTCCCACTGCCTCGCTAAAAGGAACCTAATGGATCGTACACCGTGTAAGGTAGAGATTGAAGAAACAACGGAGATGAGTAAGGATAATTAAATGGTTTAATTATTTATGGCAAGGATGAATTAATATGTTAATTAATCAAACGAATAAAGTTCGTTAAAGACCTCGGGTTAGTTTTGAGCCTCAAGGCCCAATGGGCTTCGAACGTCAAGCCCATTGACTTAAGTTGTATGACAACTTAATGACTAATAATTCACAAAGGCCCAAACAGCCCAATAAAACGCTATGGCCGGCCATATTGATAAAAGAGTGGGTTTTGGACTTATTACAAGTTTGCCACTCTAATGAAAGTAGGTATAAATGTGACTTTATAGCATTTTCTTTATTAGGATTTCTTTTGAAGAAAAGATGAGAACACAAGCTCCATTTCCAGAGACTGGTCATATTGATAAAGAATGCATGAGCGACTTATCAGAGACTGGTCAATTCAATGTTCGTCGAACAGATTGGGAAAAGCATGGAAGTTTACGTTGATGATATGCTAGTCAAGAGCAAACATGCTGACCAACACATCACCAACCTATCTGAAATTTTCACCATTCTGAAGAGGTATCAAATTGTACCCCAACCAATGTGCCTTCGGCGTAGGCTTTGGAAAGTTCTTGGGCTTCATGATAAGCTAACGAGGCATTGAGGCTAATCCCGAGAAGATTAAAGCAATCCTTGACATGAAAGAACCGATAACTTCAAAAGACATCCAGAGCCTTACTAGCAAGGTGGCAGCCTTAACTAGGTTCATCTCTAAGGCCACAGATAAATGTGCTTCTTTCTTCAAAGCACTTAAGGAAAGTAAGAAGTACATTACATAGACTGATAAATGTGTCGAGGCTTTTAAGAACCTCAAAGACTACATGAGTAACGCCCATTTGCTCTTCAAACTTGAGGTTGGTGACACTCTTATTATCTATCTGTAGGTATCAGCTTGAGCAGTAAGTTTCGTTCTCATTTGAAATGATGGTAATGTTGAACGGCTTGTCTACTACGCTAGCAAGGCCTTACAAGATGTGGAGACACGATACTCCAACATTGAGAAATTGGCTCTAGCATTGGCCATGTCTGCTCGAAAACTTCACCCTTACTTCCAAGCACACTCCATCACCATGCTTACCAATCATCATCTTTGACAGATACTCCAAAATCCTGACACTTCGGGACGAATGATCAAATAGGCGATAACATTGGGTGAGTTTGACATCTCCTACCAACCAAAGACAGCTGAGAAGGGCCAAGTAGTGGCAGACTTCATCGCCGACTTCATATATCCTGTTGACATTGTTTCTACGCCTAAAGAAGTGGTTTCATTACCCTCGGAAGCTTAGAAAATATAACCAACAGCCTTAGCATGGAATCTATATGTTGATGGCTCGTCCAACCAACAAGGTTGTGGAGCAGGACTAGTCCTTATGCCCCTGACAAAGTGGCGATGGAGTATGCTATTCGTTTCAAATTCAAGGCGTCGAACAATGAAGACGAATATGAAGCCCTCCTAGCAGGCTTACGTTTGGCCAAATACCTTGGGGTTAAACGAATTGATATCTTCAGTGACTCCCAATTGGTGGTTAACCAGGTCACCAACAACTTTGACGCTAAGGATAGCTCCATGGCAGCGTATCTGGCACAACCACAATTGTTGCTTGAGCACTTCCACTACCAGATCACCCAAATTCCTCGAGCGGCAAACAGTAATGCAAATGCTTTGGGTTGCCTCACCTCAGCGGTGGAAGACAAGATTGGGAGAAAAATTCAGGTCGAATTGTTGGTAGCACCAAGCACCATGGCTGCGGAAGTGTGCAACTTACAATAGGGGGATAGTTGGATTACCCCGATTTATAGATTCCTTGCTCATGACACCCTTCCAAATGACAAAGTCTAAGCTAAGAAGATTTGATACAAGGCTACCCGTTACTTGATCATTAATGACTAACTTTACAAGCGGGGTTTTAACATACCATACCTAAGATGCCTTATGTCCGCAAAGGCAGAAACTGTCATTCGGGAAATACATTAAAGAGTCTGTGGAGATCATGCTGGATCTCGATCCCTAGCACACAAGACTTTCCTCCAAGGATAGTACTGGCCAACACTCTACCATGATGACATCAGAATATCCTGCTCATGTGATAAGTGTCAACGCTACGCAGCTATTCATCACTCCCCTCCTGAGCCGCTCATTCCTATGATCAACCCTTGACGCTTCGCCCAATGGGGACTTGATTTGATCGGCCCAATGCCTGCAGGGAAGGGCAAGGTCCGCTATGCAATCGTTACAGTTGACTACTTCACAAAGTGGGCCGAAGTATAACCATTGGCAACCATTACTGAGGTAAAAATAGAAGACTTCATATAGAAAAACATCATTTGCAGATTTGGCATTCCTAATGCGATAGTCACTGACAACCGGCGACAGTTCGACAACAATAAGTTCAGGATATTATGTTCTAAGTTCAACATCAACTTATGTTTTGCCTTCCCAGCTCATCCCTAGTCTAATGGACAAGTTGAAGCCATCAACAAAATAATCAAGCGAACTTTGAAAACCAGCTTGGACAAGGCTAAGGGTTGTTGGCCAGAATTTGTACCCCAAGTTCTTTGGTCATACCGCACTTCGTATCGAATGTCAACAGGAGAAACCCCATTCTCACTTGCCCTTGGTACAGAGGCAGTTGTCCCAGTTAAGCTTGAGCAAGCAACGTTTTGAGTCCAGAACTACGTGCAAAGCGAAAATAACAAACAACTTACCTTCAACTTAGATCTAGTCGAGGAACACAAAAACCAGGCTTACTTGAGGAATGTTGCCTACAAGCAGCGCATCTCCAACTACTATGACTCAAGGGTCAAACCTCGTTCTTTCAAATTGGGGGACTGGGTATTGAGGAAAAGATTACTCTGCGGCAGAGTCTCGAGTGAAGGAACAATTAGTCCAAACTGGGATGGACCGTTTGAAGTTGTTGGCATCAGTCGCCCTGGCTCCTACAAGCTTAGAAGCTCCAATGGTAAGACCCTTGGCCACCCATGGAACGCTGATCATTTGAAGTACTATTACAAGTAAACTCACATTGTACAAGTGTTAAGTTTCAGCCGTTCGGCACCCTATGTAACGAAGGCTATTTAGCATGAATTTAATAAAGAGGTGATTTAGACAACTCGGTCATAATCCTCTTACATTCCTAGCAATGAAACACTCGGGTTCAAAGCTTCAACATGAATGTTTCCAACATGAAACAAAGTCTAAGTATATGTCAACAAGACTATACAAATAAACGAATAGCTTCATAGTATATTCGTTCAATCATATATTCCAACACATTCATACATAAACCAACTGTACTTCGAAAGGGTTCAACATACTTTGTGTTATTCGACACTTGTTACAATGTGCCTCGACACTTTGCCCTTATTCTCACCAACCAGGTGATGAAATGTGAAAAAAGAACTTATCTTCATGCCACCAACCAGGTGATGAAATGTACAACCCGTACTCTCATTCATGCCACTAACCAGGTGATGAAATGTACACCCCGTATTCTCCTTCATGCCACCAACCAGGTGATGAAATGTACAACCCGTACTCTATTATCATTTGGTAACTTACCACTCATGCCACCAACCAGGTGAAGAAGGAACTCATCTTCATGCCACCAACCAGGTGATGAAATGTACAACCTGTACTTTAATATCATTTGGCAACTTGCCATTCATGCCACCAACCAGATGAAGAAGGAA